CCAGACCCTCCCCCTAGCAAAGCCACTCATCGTACAGCCCAAGTTCCCTACACAAAGCCTTCCTGGCATTTCTTTATTCAACAGGCACGATGCTAGATGCTGCGAACAAGGCAGGCATGGTGACTTGCCATGGACGACAGTGGGTACAATGCAGCATGATAAAGCTATGATGCAGGATGATGGGGCACAGGTGGGGAGAGGGACATTGCATTTACACTTGGGGGTTAAGAAAGTATCTGGAGTAAATGATCTAGGCTATGCAGAAGAAAAGAGTAAAATCCACGAAAGCAACATGGGCTAAGACTTACTCAGCCTCAGTGGGATCCTTGTCAGGAGGAATTGCAAGGGGGGCACAGGTGAGCCCCCAGGCACTCCTACTCCCAGCCCTGGCCCTCGAGCCCTCTCTCCCTGACTCCCATTGCCTTGGCCAATGCAATGCCACCTCTGGGCCTTACCAAACCCCTGGGCTCCATCTCTTTCCACTGCCCTGGTCTGTGCTCAGTGTCACCCTCCAGGTCCTGGCCTCTGCATAATGCATAGAAAGATTCCTTCCTCACATGGTGCCCTCTAACGATGCCCCAGTCAGATCTTTAGCATGCTAACAGAAGCAGCGTTTGGAGTTTGGCAGGCCTTTCCAAACTGGCAGGCCCAAGTTTTCATCACACAAATGAGCAGCTATTCATTCCCCATAGCTCTCCAGCTCTGAAGAGAGAATATGGGACTAAATGAGTGTCATTCATTTAACCAGTAAGCAGCCCTGCATTTTATGGTCATGGGGGATTATTCACTTAATAATTTAATATTACATAGTTTTGTTGTTGTTTATTTTGTCTTTGTTAGAGGGCATGTGTGCTTGCCGGAGAAAGAGAGGAAGAGGGAGAGGAGAAAGTACCCTCGTGGGAAATGGTCATGCCCCAATCCCTTCTCCTTCCTTTTTTTCCTCCTTTGGGGATTCTGGGCATGCACATGTGCCTAGCATGTTTCTCAAGTTGCTGGGTCCGAGACTCAAACTCTGTGGTTGGCCACGTGGGATCCGTCTGTTTTAACTAGCAGGTCAGGGAGCCAGCCCAAATAATATTACACAGTTTTATGGCAATTCTGAGTGGCATCCCAAGAGTGCTTGTCATATGCAGTAAAACCAGGAGACCTGAGATTGCCTCTTCTTACTTGCAGACTGACCAGAACATATCAGCACTAAGGTGAGGAGCCTACAGCAAAAATACCAGGGCATTGCCTTGACCTCTTCATTGTGCACAGCATTCCCCAAATGTATGGATCTCAGATCCTGACAAAGTCTTATCATTGCGAGTATGGATGAGCTGGGGGAGTTACCTTCAAGTTCTATCCCTTTCCAGTGGGTTAAGTCAGACTCAGTAGGAAAAAGAGAGAGAGAGAGAGAGAGAGAGAGAGAGAGAGGGGGGGGGATGATGTGGAAGGGTAACTATTATCCTGTACCATTTCGCATTTGTGTGATAGTTGGCAATTGTCGAAACACTTCCCCACCTGTTATCTCAGGGCAGAGGGCCTCATTCCCATTTCACAGGTGGGGAATCTAAAGCTTGGAGAGGCTGAGTTCCCACGGTCATATGGCTACGTGTGCAGAGCCAAGCCTGGACTCACACAGTGCTCTTTCTCTATCTCTTCTCTTCAAGGTTGTAGAAGAGGAAAGGAAAATGAAATCTCCTGGAAGGCTGAAGTTTAGGTTTTTAAGCTCCAATCCCCCAACTCACTCTCCTGGAGAGCTGGTGTAGATAATAAACACCACTACTCAATATTTATGAAATCCAGTTCTTCTGCAAATAGATCAGCAGGCATGTTCAGTGGAGGGGACAAATTCTATCAGGAGCTCGTCTCAGAGCAATCAGTTCCAGTGGCCAAGTGCAAGCACCTCCCTGAATGATAAACACCCCCGCGGGCTGAGGCAGAGCCGGCCTGCGGGGGAGGTGCGAGCCCCAGCCCCCACGCCAGGCGCCCTGCAGCTGACCAGACTCACCACCATGACCTCTCTCTTCACTGACTTCATTTCTGCAGGGAACAGAACAGGCAGAAGTTAAGCTTCTTGGGCACTAAATTGACCTTAAAATTCCACCCCCACAATGGGATTTCCCCTAAACAGGCTTTGAATTCAGTCTTGCAGACATGGCAAAGAATTTTTCTGTCTGTAGACATGTTTTTTGGACAGCTTTCAATCTTCTTGGAAAACACACACACACACACATAATACATATATGGTTAAATACTTAAAATTTCTTCCCAGCTTATTGCTATTCCTGAACCTAGGAAATTAGCTTTTAAATGGCATTAGTAATAGAAAGAAAAATGGAGTTGACACATTTGTTCCTAACAAGGGGACTTTTTGCATCTATTTCCCATCCCTTTTTAAAACAGTAACTGGGATTGGAGAGTTTGTGAAAATCTCATTTATTAAAATCGTCTCACTCAATATGATCAACAGCCATTATAATCAAATGTCTAACCTTGCTTAGACATGCCTTGTGCATTTCAGACACACATGCTTGTGGATGAAGTGATTAAAGCACGCATTAAAAAAATCATAATAAGACTTTCCAACACTATGCCCTGTCTCAGCCCATAGTTCAGAGTCACTTTACTTTGACCCAGGCTTGCCTGCCAGGGTCAGGATGGGCCCCCTCCACAGGCTTGGAGCTGCTCAAAGGGACCTTGCTCAGCTTACCAATGTCCCCGAAATCAGTCAGCTCACCTGACTTTGTCCTGCCCCCTTCTAACTAGTCTAACCGTGAAAAACCTCAAATCCATTGCAATTTGAGAATAAAGCATCGTTTGTCTTTCAAAAAACGCAGATGTCTAACTCAGAGCATTAGCTATCCTCAGGAGCGGTCACACTCTTCCGTGTGCAGCACCAAGTAGATACCGCCTGTGTTTAACACATCCAGGCTCCTTTATTCCTGTTCTGCTCGGTGGCGAACAGACCTAGGTGCTTAAGCTGAGCTGATTGGAAATGACTCCAGGTAGGGAACAGATTGGACCAGCATGAAAGATCCAAGGGGTCAACAGCACCCTGCTCTCTGCCCTTCCCTTTCTCCAGCTACCTCCGATGCTGCTTCATCCCACCCATGGATGGTGTGGCTCAAAACCTATCAAGACACAATTGCACCCCTTCTTCTTAGAATACAACAGAGCAAGCAAAATACAACCAACACATAAAGGGAATAGGCTCAATACATACCTCCTTTCTTTGCCCTATTGGAAGGGAAAAATAAGGGGTGGGAGGAGATGACATTAATTCACCTGAAAGCATTATGCACTGGCACACACATGATAACATGGGGTCCTTGGGATTCTGAGGCTGACTAGAAGAGCTGCCAGGGGTAGGCAGCAAGCATAAGGTTAGACTATCACCCCTGCTCCAGACAAAGGAGCTCCATCACTGTTGGCTTGGACTGGGAGGTTCTGGGAGTTTGAAACCATTGCTGTACGTCACATCTTCAGGGATGTGTTGTTTCTGATGCCTGGTGAGGACATGAACCAGCCCAGTCAGACTGCCTTTGATGCTTCCTGCCCTGTTTTCCTCCCCAGTAGCCAGCTAGCAGAAGGCGTGGCTCACAGCAGGGAGACTTGAGAGCTGGCAGCTAAACTTTGGTTTTCTAAAACATGAAGAGCCGGCCTTAGACTCTAAGGCCTTTCCCAGGATAACCTTACATTCTATGGTTCTGTGACTCCAGTTCTATTCTTTGCTATTTGACAAATGTTGGCTCTCATAGGGGAAAACCAGCTTTCAAAGATACCAGGCTTGAGTCTGAGTTTCTAGCATTTTTTCTTTTTTAAGTCAACTATGTTGAAAGTAATTATTTAGAACATAAGTTTAAAAAAACACATTAAAGGTGCATGGTTAACATTAGCCCTAAATTGCACGTGCTGCAGTGTCTACTAGATTACTTCCTTCAAGAATGTCTACCCAAATCCTATTTTACAAAATACCACCATCTTACAAGCTAAGAATCACTCGTCCAGAGCTAGCTTTTGTTTTTTTTCCCCTGAGTCAATTTGTGAGCAGAGTCCAAACAAAAATGCCTTTTTTAATTGCAGCAGATGCCCAAGGATTTCTTACCTTGAAGTCAAGGTTGCCAATAGCAACAAACTTCCCCAATAAATATGGCAAAATGCAACGTACATCTTGGTGCTAACGAACGCCTTATACTCTTATACAGTCTTTCATCCACAGAGTTTAAATTATTTGGCAACTAATAGTTAATCTTCAAAATATTTTTAAAGGCACACAAGTCTTATCACCCTTCCTCTTTTATTAAAAAAGAACTATTTTACTTAACTATATTTCTTTATTTATATTTGACCAGAGAGGAACAGAGAGAAGGAAAGTGAGAAAGCCAGCCTCCTGGTCTGGGACTTGAACCCAGGTCAGTCATGTGGGAGTCCAGTGTCCTTAGCCATCACGCCATCTGCCAGCCCCTTACTTACTGTTCCTTTTTACCAGTGAGGAATCCTGAAACTCAGAAGTTCCAATGCCCTGAGATACTTGGACATGGAGCCGAACTGCAACTCAAATCCTAAACTCACTGGGACTCAGCTGTTCAGAATAATGCAACAAGATTTTCAAATGATGGCTATGGCATTTACTCTGTCAGAAACAGTGGTAAGTGCTTTCTTTCCATGTGCTCATTTAATTGTTTAGTTTTACACATAATGAAATTGAAGTCACAGAGGTTGTCTCTTAGGAAAGTTGTATATTCAGAAATGGTAGAGCTAAGATTCGAACCCAGGTCCTGTCTAACTCCAAAACCCAGGTTCAGAGCCATCAAGCTCTAGTAGTAATAATTCCTGAGAATCCAGAAACCTGGCTCTAGAGTTCAGTGTTCTCTTTACTTCACACTATTACAAGTTGGGTATTCCTTATCCAAACTTTTTGGGACCATTTTGGATTTGTTTTTGTTTGTTTGTTTGTTTTTCAGATTTTTGGAATATTTGCATATACCTAATAAGACATCTTGAGGATGGGAAACAAGTGTAAACATAAGATGTATTTATGTCTCATATACACTTAGCAGGAAGGTAGTTTATGTAATAATTTCATTGAAGCATTTTGACTGTGACCTTGTCACATGAGGTCAGGTGTGAAATTTTCCACTAATGGGGTCATCTTGGCATTCAAAAAGATTTGAATTTCAGGGACCAGCAGTTGGTGTAATGGCTATGTCGCTGGACTCCCAAGTAGGCAACCACGGTTCCAGTCTTGGACCCGGTGGCTTAAACTCACGCCAGGCGCGTGTGCGTGCGTGCCCAAGATCCCAAGAAGAGAATGGAGGAGAAGGGATTGCGGCGTGGCTATCCCCCCTGGGGGGCGATTTCTTGCTTTCTGTCTCTCTGTCTCTCTCTGTCTTTCTGGTGAGCATACACGCCCTATAGCAAAAATCTCTCCCAAAAGAAAAAAAATGATTTGAATTTCAGAGCATTTTGGTTCTGGGATTTTTGGATTTGTGATGCCCATTTGCACCTTATTTTAGGCAGTAAAAGACACGCAACAGATTATCACAATAAGAGCCATATTACTGTGAACAGGTAAGAACAGGAAGGACAGAAAACAGACCTATGTTTACAGCCCTTGAGAGTAAGAGACAGGGCCACATGCAAAAGAACAATGATTATTTAGTCTCACAAAATCCCAGCTAAGTCACTAGAGCCAAAAGCTTAATTCCCGTGTGTGTGTGTGTGTGTGTGTGTGTGTGAGTATGTGTGTGCACACACTTCCTTTAATCCTATCTTTTCCTTTAAATATTTTACAAATAAGAGCACTGGCTTATTCTATCATTACTCACAACAGGGCTTTTTAGAAACTTTTATCCAGTAAAGTCACCAAAAGGCTGACACCCCAATTTCATAGAAAACCCATTACGGACAGGGTGCATGGCCTGGAGAAGCTGAAGGAATAACCATTCTTCACCTATCAGGTGACATGGAGTGTAAACCGGGACAAGGGGAGGGGAGCTGGAATTCCTTCCCCATATCTCCTTTTCCCTCCTTCCCTCTGGGTACCCCGGTCAACAGAAAAATCCCGACTCTCTATCCTTCTCTCTGGACCTCTCCAGGAAGTGTCCTGTAGGAAGTGGAGGAAAGGGCCCAGCCCGCTGGCAACTCACTGAGGTTTCTTGTCCTTTCCAGTCTTGCAGGAGCAGTGTCTGTGGATGGCTTTGGCCAACACAATGACCAGGGACACCAGGAGACCCAGAAGCAACAGGGAGCCCAAGGTGATGACAAAAGGCACATACCACGCAGATGGAGAATAAACGTTTTTCCTCAGGATCTGGTAGGTGATTCTGGGCTTGAACGACACAGAATAGGGAGAGTGAGTGGAGGGTGTAATGTTTTTAACCTTCAGCACTTCCTTGTGGTGGGTGTTTATTCCTCTCTGTTCTTGCTCTCTAAATTGGACATCTGTGTAGTCACAGTTCTTGTTGCTTTAACCTATCACTTCATTTTTAGCCTTTGCAGACATTCATTAGATCAAAATCCAGAAACTTTAGGGATCGGAGAAGCAACTCTAGGCCTAATTCCATTCTCTGTCCTTCACTTTCCCACAAGCTAAAGTCTACATGGCTTTTATTCCTGCCATATCACAGCATAACCCAGGGACTAATATAGCTATTGTCTCTCACTGAGAAGGCTGAAGCCATGGAAGTTGTTTTTTAACACCTCGTACGTTTTCAGTGTTCTCTCAACTACAGGCAGCCAGATGAGTGGGCCGCTATCACAGTGAATCCTCAAGTTCAGCATCTGCTTCCTAGCGCAGAAACAGATAATAAACAAGGGATGGAGATTTCAGGATGGGAGCCGTCACAATCGGGTCATGCTGTCAGCCCATGAAAGGTGGCAATTTCTCATTCAGGGGCACCTCCTGGCTCCTACCACACAGAAAGTCCTTGGTGTTGCCATTTGCCTCCATTCATTGAGGTCACAGTGACTCAAGCCCAGGAGAAAGAAATTTTTTAAAAATAATAATTTATTTTAATTTGACCAGACACACACACACAGAGAGAGAGAGAGAGAGAGAGAAAGAAAGAGGAAAGTGAAAAAGTAAGCCACCAAGTCCAGGACTTGAACCATGTGGTCCAGGACTTCAGCCATGTTGGGGTGACTAGCACTTTAACCACCTGCTGTTCCCCAGGAGAAAGAAATATTAGCGAGCTCTTGGTAAGACTCTGATAAGCAGATACTGGTCACCTTCACAGGTGCTTTTCTGAGATTCTCACTCATTTTGTTCTGGCATGTCACAAGTATGGTAATGCTGGCCAGGGATGTAGTTTTTACTAAGAAGAGGAGGAGAAAGGGGATGAAGACGTCAATATTGGGGCTGGCAGGTGGCCTGCTGGTTAAGGGTGCTGGACTCCCACATGACCGACTGCAGTTTGAGTCCTGGACCTGGCAGTTTGCTTTATCACTTTCCCCCTCTTTCTCACTCTGTCCCTCTCTGGTCAAATTAAAAATAAATAAATAAATAAAGTTTTAAAAAATCTTAAAAAAAAAAAAACAATATAGGGGCCTGCAGGTGGAATAGTTCTAAGGCACTGCACTCACACACAGCCGACTGCAGTTCAAGTCCTGGACCTGGCAGCTTGGTATTCACACTGGTCATGTGTGTATGAGTGCCCAAATTCCCAGAAGGAGAATGGAGAAGGGAATGCAGCATGGCCATCCCCCATAAGGGCTGATCTCTCATTTTCTCTCTCATTGTCTCTCTCTAGCAAGAGCATGTACCCTATGGCAAAATCTTTTTTTTTTTTTTTTTGGAGAGATTTTCACTGTAGGGCGCGTGCGCTCGCCAGACAGACAGAGAGAGACAGAGAGACAGAAAGTGAGAAATCACCCCCCAGGAGGGATGGTCACACTGCAATCCCTTCTCCTCCATTCTCCTCTTGGGATCTTGGGCATGCACGCACACGTGCCCAGCGTGAGTTCTAAGCCACCGGGTCCAGGATGCGAACCGCGGTTGACTACATGGGAGTCCAGCGACATAGCCATTACGCTAACTGCTGGTTCCCCCCTATGGCAAAATCTTTAAAAAAAAATAATTAATATTATTTTTTCGTTTGCTATATAGTGTTCACCAAGGAGAAAGAGAAAGAGAAAGTGAGAAATCATCCCCAGTGGGGAATAGCCACATCACAATCCCTTCTCTTCCATCCTCCTCTAGGGATTTTGGGAACACATGCACACGTGCCCAGCATTTTTAAATTGCCAGGTTGAAGACCTGAACTGCTCAGTCAGCCATGTGGGTTCCACCCGCCTTAACTTCCGCACCACCTACTGGATCTAATTTGTGTACTTATTTGTAATCTGTCCCCCCTTGTTGATCAATGGCTCTCAAACTTTAATGCATTTCAGAATTCCTTATACATTTTATTTCATTTTTTAAAGAATTATTTTATTTAATTTTATTTATTCATTTATTTATTTTAGCTTAATCAGAGAGGGGACACAGAGAGAGAGAGACAGAGAAAGTAAGAAAGCAAGCCACCAGGTCAAGGACTTGAACCATGGTTGGCCATGTGGGAATGTCCAGTGCCTTACCCACCACACCACCTGCTGGTCCCTTGTACATTTTATTAAAAATACAAATTGGGGCCAGCCAGTGGCATGGTAGTTAAGGCAGGTGGATCCTATATGGCTAACTAAATGGTTCAAATCTCAGACTCAGCAGTTTGAGAAACATGCCAAGCATGTGTGCATCCAGCATCTCAGAAGGAAGGAGAGGTGATGGAGAAGGGATGGTCGCATGACCACGTCCCATGAGGGGTGCTTTCTCACTCCCTTTCTCTCTAAAAGCACACACACCATCTGGCAAATTAAAACACACACACACACACACACACACAGAGGACAGAGGAGACAGCAGGTGGTTAAGGTGCTGGACTCCCTCATGACTGACTGTAGTTCAAGTCCTGAACCTAGCAGCTTGAAAATCACACCAGGCATGTATGTATGCAAGCCCAAAATCCCAGGAGGAGAAAGGAGAAGAAGGTATTATGGCGTAGTCATTCCCCCCAGGGGGTGATTACTCACTTTCCCTCCTGCTGTCTCTCTCCCTCTATGGTGAGGCCACATGAACACACATGCCCTTTGGCAAAGATTTAAATACACACACACACACACACACACACACACACACACACTCACGAATTGCTGGGTCTCGCCTCCAGAGGTTCCAATCCAGTAAGTGGGAGGATAGGGTTGGGGATTTCAGGTTCCAACCTCGTTCCCTGGAGTTTGTGGTGATGGTCATGAATGGGTGAGGTATAACTTTACTAATCGAGGGTAGGCCTGATAATGTTCATTTCTACCACGTTTCAAGGTGACCCTGATGCTACTGGTTTGGGACCACACTTTCAGAACCACTGTCCCATGCATTAAGCTTCAGGAGAGCAGGGATCATTTTGATTTATTTACTAAAGTGACTGGAAATATAGGCATTAAATTAACAATTGTACATTAGATAAACTTTTTTTAAAAAAGAATTATTTATTTAATTTTATTTATTCATTCATTTATTTTAATTTGACCATAGAGAGACACAGAAAGAAAGAGAGGAGAAGTAAGGAAGCAAGCCACCAGGTCCAGGACTTGAACCATGGTTAGTCATATGGGGGTGTCCAGTGCCTTAACCACCATGCCACCTGCTGGCCCTGGTTAGATAAACTTGTATGAAGTGGAGGTGAAGAGTGGGGTATGGATTGACACATGGTAACTCTTGTAAAGAAGTAAAGACAAGCGCCCAGCAGTTATCTGTCTGCCTTCATGGACGCTGACTTGCAATGACTCCTCTTTTCCCCAAATAATTATTAATTTAATTTATTATTATTATTATTATTATTAATTTGCTATAGGGCACGTGCACTTCCCAGAGACAGAAGAAAGAGAGAGCGAGAGAAAGCAAGCCACCAAGTCTGGGACTCAAACTATAGTTGAACATGTGGAAGTCCAGCGCCTCAACCACCATGCCACCTGTTGGCTTTGCAATGACTCTTAAGAGCAAGCAGAGCAGAAAACAACTAGCCTGTGCCCATGAAAACTGGCCGCCATGCCACAGGTGGCTACTATGGTTTGAGCATGTCCCCATCAAACACATGTATAGAAATTTTGTATGTCGTGAGTATACTAAAAGGGTGGAAACTCAATCCAACTATGGGATTAAGAGTTGAGACCGGGACCAGCAGATAGTGTAATGGCTATTTTGCTGGACTTCCATGTAGTCTACCGCAGTTCGAGTCCTGGACCCAGTGGCTTAAACTCACGCTGGGCACATGTGCGTGCATGCCCAAGATCCTGAGGAGAATGGAGGAGAAGGGATTGCAGCGTAGCCATCCCCTTCCCCCACTCCCCCCGGGGGTGATTTCTTACTTTCTGTCTCTCTGTCTCCTTCTGTCTTTCTGGCGAGGGCACGCGCCCTATAGGAAAAGCCGCTCCAAAGAAAGAAAGAGTTGAGGCTGTTAGGAGGTGATTAGGATTAGATAAAGTCCTCAAGGTAGGGCCCCCATGATAAAGAGAGGAAGACACAAACCTAGACATGGACACACAGGCTCGACTTTGGCCATGTGATGCCCTGCATTGCCTCAGAACACTGCAGGGAGTCCCCATAACAAGAAGGCCCTCATCAGATGCAGCCCTTGACTTTAGGCCTCCAAAACTATGAGTGAAATTAACCTCTATTCTTTATAAATTACCCAGTGTGGTATTCAGTAGTGATAGACTAAAACAGTGGTCAATGTCTGAGAGGTCACAGGCCCCTGCACAAATGCACCCCTTTCTTTTTTTTATTACTTTATTTGATATTATTATTATTGTTGTTTTATTTTACCAGAGAAAGACAGAAAGAGAGAGAGAAACCAAGTTGCCAGGTCCAAGACTCAAAATGCGGTCAGTCATGTGGGAGTCCAGTATCTTTAACCACCATGCCACCTGCTAGCCCCGCAAATGCACCTCTTTCTTTATCAGAATAGGAGAAGTCAATGGGTTTAGGAACCCAAGGTCTCATCCAGAACTTTATTTGTTTATTTATTTATTATTTTTTTGGAGAGGTTTTTGCTATAGGGCACATATGCTCACCAGAAAGAGACAGAGAGACAGAAAGCAAGAAATCAGCCCTCAGGGGGGATTGCCACGCCGCAATCCCTTCTCCTCCATTCTCCTCTCGGGATCTTGGGCACGCATGCACATGCACCCAGCATGAGTTTTAAGCCACCGGGTTCGGGACTCGAACCGCGGTTGACGACACGGGAGTCCAACATAGCCATTATGCCAACTGCTGGTCCCTCACCCAGAACTTTTTCTACCACCCATGGCTACTCCAATCCAGTCCTCGGTTGCCATTTTGGGCAACATCTTAATACTGCAACTTTTTTAGTTCATCCCACATTTTTCCTGGGCCAAAGAGCTCTACCACCATAGGCCACATGAGAAGGTGGCTGGGGTTCCAGCTCTCAGAGCACTTACCCGGGGGGTTGTTGTGATGATCGTAGTTGGGTGGGGAATGACTTTAATATTCAGTGTCACTGTCCCTGTTTCAACAAGAGCCTCAGCTTTTTTCCTGCCGGACAGCAAATTATCATCAGTGATGTAGACAAGTAGTTTGTAGTCCCAGAGCTTATCAAGTCCACCAGCGTAGTCAAAGGGAGAGGCGAGCAGTAGGCGTGTGATATTGGATCCGGCACTGGGAGAGAAGGTGAAATGATTGTTGATGTTGCCTAAATGAGATTTGATATGTGGATGTTAGTAAAGGAAGAAAACAGAGTGAGAAACAAAGGGTTAGAAAAACACTGCATTCAGCCTATTCCTGAAATGTCCTTAACTGCAGACCACGTTTCTGACGCTCCAGGGCTGGGTCTGTGATGTGCTACAGGCCTTAACTGCACCAGATCTCATTAGTGCTAAGAAACTCTTGCTTATAACCACAGTGGCTACGAATGCAGAGTATAAACGCCTTGGGCCCTATGGCTTGAGAAAAACACTGGGTATGTGTGAGTGCATGCTCAAAATCCCGAGAGGAGAATGGAAGAAAGGGGATTGCAGCATGGCCATCCTTTTCAGGGGGTGCTTTCTCTCTCTCTCTTTCTCCAGTGAGCACACACACTCTATAGGAAAAATTAAAAAAAAAAAAAAGCAAAGCAATAGCACACCTATTCTGGTGCTGTTTTACTGAGCATCAGGCAGAGAGATGTCATAACCCTGGGCAGCCCCTCTAGCTCATCATCAAGCATTTATCTGGAAATACGCGTAACTGACCAACCAATGAGTGGGCCAGAAGGGGGCAGAGCAAGCCGCCTTCCCAGCCATAGTCCAAGTTCACCCTGTGTCTTTCATGGAACCTGGCTGGTCACACTGGTTACAGCTGTCCCTAGAGTCCCCCAAAGGAAGGTGCCTCCTGGCTCTGCAGAGATCACTGCCCCAGGTCCTCCTGAACCCAGCCCATCACGCCCCCTAAACATATGCACAGCTCTGTTGAGGCTGAAGGAGCCTGGGGCAGAGAGGCTGCCAGCCTGAGCACACTCCTGCTCATTCCTCCGGTGGCTCCAGACTCATTACCGATTGAACACCAGTAAATGGAGCAGGAGATGATGCAATTTTTAGTCCCTTAGCAGCAAAGTGCTCCATAAAGGCCTAAGGGTTCTCAGTATGGATTATTTCCATCCTCGGCAACTGCAGTCTCAGGCAGTTTCTGCCCCTGGGTTTTGTGACACAGCCTGCTCCAGAGGCTTCCTGCTGCTCGAGTTCCTGCTCTGCCAAGGGCTCAGCAGGAGGCCGAGATGGCTTTTTTTTGTACTCTTGCCCGTGGAATTGCTCTGCTTGTTTGGGTTTAAATCTCTGGCCCCAGCACTTCATTAGATGAGCTATTTTGGTTTAATTTCCATTGAGGGGTGCTCCCCGCCCCCCATGATGGTATATTTTTAAAGAGAGAAAATGAATGGAGCAGAAGAGAATTCCTGAGGACACATTTTGAAATGCATTTAATCTATTTAATCTATTATTATCCAGAGAGAGGGCTGGGATTCCCTGCCCCCACTGTACGAGGGGGTTGAGGAGTTGGACTAAATTTTTTTAAACCTACACTAATATGATCTATGACTCTGATCACAGTCTGGAAATTCGGAGGTTGCAGTCCCCGTCAAAGGGAGTCACTCTCCCTCTGGCCTCTGGGCTGCCATGTATGGGCCTCTGGGCAGACTTGGGTGAGAAGCAGAAGCCAAAAGGAGTACGAGGAAGCACAGGGACATGAGACTCCTCATCCCAAATGTGGCCTGATTCTACCCCACCTGTGCCCAGATCAGCGTGTAAGCACAGACGCCCCTCCCACCCCCCCACCAGGCAGGGCCAGGGGCTGACAACTATACCTGGGCCCATGGAATAACGGAAAGATCTGGGGTTGGAATCCAGGTCAGTACACGTCAGCTGGAAATTCTGAATGTTTGTACCAACTTTCAGATCCACTGGGATGGCCAGGAAATGAGAGTTTGGGGCGCAAATGGGCTTTTCGTCATTTTCGTCGAGGACGTTCACGGTAACCTAGAGCAGCAAGAAGGTAGTCATTCCTAACAACTGAGACTTCGTGAGTGTGGTAAGTCAGGCACTTCTCAGGCTCAGCACTTTGCCTGGACTTGCTCATTTAACCTCACATAAGATAGATAACACATTAGTCCCGTCTTACAGATGAGGAAACAGAGGCATAGATTAGGTAATGACTTTCCAGCTGGTGAGCAGTGGATCTGAATTCAGGTCTGTCCTACTCCTCGCCCTACGCTCTTAACTTCTAAAGTGTGTGTGTGTGTGTGTGTGTGTGTGTGTGTGTGTGTAAGGTGAACATGTATACTCACACACACCCCTACACATGCACCTAGACACATGGCTCACCACAGATCATGCTGAGTTCTTTTCCTGGTAACAGTTATAGATTCTTGGTAACCCCATGTGCTCCCTTGCTCACTGTCCTCTGTCAATCAGAAGTTCATTCTCAGGAGCAGCAGATAGCATAATGGTTATGTTGCTGGACTTCCACGTGGCTGACTGTAGTTTGAGTCCTGGACTCAGCAGCTTGAAACTCATGCTGAATGTGTGTGTGTGTGTGTGCGTGCCCAAAATCCTGAGAGGAGAATGGAGAAGGGACTGTGGCGTGGCCATCCCCTTGGTGTGTGTGTGGGGGGGTGATTTCTCACTTTCTGTTAGTCTCTTTCTGTCTCTCTGATGAGCGCATACACCCCATAGCAAAAAAGTCTCTCAAACAAAAATCAATTGAAAAAGTTCATTTTCCAACTTTGACATGTATGGCAATGTTTCACAACCCTGAACCCCGCTTTCTTGGGCCTGCTTCAGACTAAATGAATTGGACTCCCCAGAGGGTGGGACTTAAGCACTTTTTAATGTTCCCCAGCTGACTCTAATTCGCAGCCCGGGTGGAGAAGCACTGGGACAGAACGCACGGGCCTGGTTAAGCTGGGATCTGGTCTGTAGGCTGGGCTATCAGCACCGCGCTAAGCCTCGGAGCTAACCCGCCATAAGCTGGGGCTGGCCTATTCTCTTTCATCGCTGTCTGTTATGCCTGGTGAATTGGAATATAGACTGGGACACCTGCCAGCACAGAATCACAGGATGTCAGCCCTGAAAGGGACTTATGTGATCATTTAGTTCATCACTCTTTTTAAAAGCTTATGAATTTTGAGTCGTATTCATTCTACCTTTGAAATTTGGGGATTTCAGCTATTTCTGAGCCCAGGAATAAATTGAAATGTTCACTCTAGCTAGCACCCAAAGTAGAATCCATTCAGTTAAAAAAAAAAAAAAAAAAAGACCAGCCTAACAAACACTGCAATTATCTCCAACTTTCTTCTTCTAGCAGTGGCAAGCCTCACACATCATTAAAAACATTATCCCATTCATTTAAAGCAAGTCATCGGAGGAACTGGACTATTCAGGCATTGAGTGATCAGGTGACTCTCTATTTAAAAGACAGAGAAACAGAGGCACGGAGATAAGCATTGCCCAGAGCCCCTCGGAAAATTGGGATCAGAGTTGAGAAATGAACTCGGTCTCCTGAGTCAGAGCAGTCATTGTCTGCATCACACAGAGCTGCCTGCTGTGAGCTGAGTTCATTTTGCCTTCATGCCTTTTCACTTGACTAATGGGAAAGACTAAGAAATAGTTGGGTCTTTGTGGCCATCGCCTTGCTCTCAGATAATGACAACACGGACCTATTAGATCCTTGCTGCTCTGACTGTAGCTGTGGACCAGCTCAATTGGAAACAGGTGTGAAATGCAGAATCTCAGGCCTCAGAACTACTGACTCTGAATCATTCATTTATTTATTTATTTCACTGTGGCAAGAGAGGGACAGAGTGTGTGTGTGTGTGTGTGTGTGTGTGTGTGTGTGTGTGTGAGAGAGAGAGAGAGAGAGGAAGAGAGAAAGAGAAAGTGAGAAAGCAAGCTGCTAGGTCTGGACTCAAACCATGGTCAGCCATGGTCCAGCACCCTTAACCACCATGCCATCTGCTGGCCCCGAGAGAGAGATTTTTTTGCTATAGGGCATGTGTACTTGCCAGAGAGATAGAGACAGAAAGCAAGAACCCCGCCCCCGGGGGGGGGACGGTCACACTGCAATCCCTTCTCCTCCATTCTCCTCTTGGAATTTTGGGCATACACGCACATGTGCCCAGCGTGAGTTTTAAGTTGCTGTGTCCAGGACTGGAACTACGGTCAACTATGTGGGAGTCCAGCAACATAAGCATTACACCATCTGCTGGTCCCAAACATAGCATCATTTTAAGATCTACTTCATCTGGTGTGTATGGAGAGTGGGGTAGAAACATGACCAACTGCCCTTGGGGAGGAAATGCATAACTACAAAACCACACCCCATTCCTGGGCAGTGTGCGTCTTGCCACAAGCCCACAGTGAAAACCAAGCAAGATTTAAGGGGCCACAGGAGGAACCCAACCCTGCCCCACAAAGTGGCTTTGTGGGTTCAGCGGATATCCCAAAGTCTGTTTATTTAGTTCAGCACTTTTCTGAATTACCCACAAACTCAGGCCTCAAAGAAATAAACTTTTATTTTCAGGGCCACACTCCTTGCTTCCCATCATGTCTGCATGATGAGAAGAGTCCCCATGGCTGCGGCCACATTCTGAGTCAACCAGTTGGGATAGAGTGAATACACCCAACAGCCCCACTCACAGTGACTGAGCTTGTGTCCTCGCCGTTGGTGGCCTGGATTTCAAGAACATAGATGGGGGTTGTTTCATAGTCTGCTTTAGTTATTAGTTGAAGTTCTCCTGTCTTGGGATTAATCCAAAATATATTTGGGTACTGGAAGCTGGCCCCTCCAGAAGAGATGGAGTATGTGATGCTACTCTGCGGGAAGTCTTTATCAGTCGCCTGGACCCGTCCAACTCTGGTTCTAGCTGCAGGAATAAAGTACTTGAGATTAGTCCTGCTTTGCAAGTTGGGTGGGGGAGGATGATCCAGAAACACACATCTTTACTGCCATAGGCAGAAAGACTTTGGGAGGTTTCCTTGCTGTTCAAACTCTGTATGTTTTATATCTTCAATTCTATTAGATTTAAATAATGCTAATGAGCATCCGCCAGGTAACAGGCCCTATGATCTGAGCAGTACTGTCAGGTGTAAAAGACAATGCATGCCTTTATATAGGCTCTAAGAACACCAATTACCTTGTTCTCATAAACAACAGTGCGAAGAATATTCACCCTTATGCATTGATCTTTTTTGCAGCAATGTTATCTAAAAGCCTCTAGTTTTCCATGTTTTCTTTTTTTATATACTATTTTTTATTATCATTTATTTTAATTTGACCAGAGAGTAACAGAGTAAGAGAGAACAAGAGAGAGGGAAAGTGAGAAAGCAGCCACCAGGTCTGGGATTCAAACCATGGTCAGCCATGTGGGAGTCCAGTACCCTTAACCACCACGGCACCTGCCATAATATTCCAAGTTTTCTATAACAAACATAAATTGCTCTTATGAACAAGAGAAAACATAAATAATTTTTAAGAATTTAGCAACTAATGATTACAAAATGTAGTCTTTAAATACTGTTCTACTTTGCTTATTTCATAAATGTCGGTGGGACTGCTCAAGTTCTGGCTTGCTTATTTTATAGAAGTTCTTTCTCATAAATTATACTTCTCAGAGGCAGAAACCGTCTCATACTCAATTTTATGGCCCTAGTTCTAAGTATGTGACCCAAAGTAGGTGATCAAAAATAATTGTAGTAAGATCCACGAATTCATAACAAGCCCATTCTGGCTGAATTTGTTATTCACTGGGTAAAGGTAAAAGGAACTAAAGCCTTTTTTTTTGGATACTTTTCATTTCAAGAAAATAATAAAAAGCTATTTTCTTTCTTTCTTTCATGAGAGAGAGAGGTGTCCCTGATAGTTCAGTATGCTGTGAACCTCCCCCTAGCCTCTCAGGCAGCCAGAATCATGCCTGCCATGTTCAGGTAAATTTGGATTCTGGATCCAGGATTTGAACCTGGCCCTCCCATGTGGTTCAAGTATTGCACAGCTGTGCCTTACTACCTGTGTCACTACAGCTAAGCTTGGACTTTCCTTTTGTGTTTTGTTTTGAAACTTACTGTCAGAAGATGGAGACCATCATAAAGAGGGAGAGTAAAACAAAGAGGGGGAATTACCCAAGTTCTAAAGATCAAAAGCTATGAGAAATATATTATATGAGTGAGTTAACATACTAGATTATTTGAGTTAATAATACCTTCAGGGGCCAGCAGGTGGCATAGTGGTTAAAGTGTTGGACCCCCCACATGGCAGACGGCAGTTCCAAGTCCCAGACCCAGTGGCTTGAAACTCACACCGGGCACACACGCATACGTGCCAAAAATCCCAGGAGGAGAATGAATGAGAGGGATTGTGGCATAGCTATTTCCCCTGGAAGGAGATAATTTCTTGCATTTTCTCTCTGTGTCTCCAGCAAGTGCATGCATGCTATAGCAAAAATCTCTCAAAAGTTAAAAAATAATAATAAAGCGCACAAAAGAAGGCCTCCAATGAATCCTGGTAGGAGAGAAAAGAAAAGTCTCTGTTTTTATTAAAAAAAAAATTTAACTTTATTTATTATTATGTTTTTCTAATTTTCTATAGGGCACATGCACTCACCAGAGGGAGACAGAGCAAGAGAAAGTGAGAAAGCAAGCCTCCAAGTCTGGGACTTGAACTGCAGTCAGCCATGTGGGAATCCAGCACCTTAACCACCAAGCCACTTGCCAACCCCCTTATTTTGTTCTTAAATGAAGGAAATATAGACATGGAAAATCTCTCTTCATTTTTACTTTAAAATCTTTTAAAAGCATTATTTAATTTTATTTATTTATTTATTTAGTTTTTGAAAAGTTTTTGCTATAGGGCACGTGCACTCGCCAGAAAGACAGAGAGAAACAGAGAGACAGAAAGCCAGAAATCACCCCCCAGGGGAGATGGCCATGCTATAATCCTTTCTCCATTCTCCTCTCAGGATCCTGGGCATGCATGCATACGCACCTGACATAAGTGTATGCTACCAGGTGCGGGACTTGAACCACAGTTGACTGCATGGGAGTCCAGCAACATAGCCATTATGCCAACTGCTGGTCCCTATTTATTATTATTTTTAAAATTTGCTATAGGGCACGTGTGCTCACCACAGAAAGAGCAAGAGACAGAGATAGAGAAAGCTGCCAGGTCTGGGACTCAGACTGTGTTGACCATGTGGGAGTTCAGCATTTTAACTACCATGCCACCTGCTGGCCTGCCTTCCTTTATTTTTAAATTCTTTTTTTTTTTTTGGAGAGGCTTTTGGCTATAGGGCGTGTGCGCTTGCCAGAAAGACAGAGACAGAGAGACAGAAAGCAAGAAATCACCCCCCGGGGGGATGGCCACACCACAATACCTTCTCCTCCATTCTCCTCTTGGGATCTTGGGCACGCATGCACACGTGCCCGGCATGAGTTTAAGTCACTGGGTCTGGGACTTGAACCGCAGGAGTCCAGCGACATAGCCATTACACCAATTGCTGGTCCCAATTTTTAAATTTTAATTCTGAGTGAGCTGGATAAAAATCACAGTGAAGGATTGGTTACATAACTGGGTTCCCATTAGTTGACCATGGTTTGAATCCTGGACCTGGTGATTTAAAACTCATGCCAGGCATGTGTGCACATGTGCCCAAGATTCGGAGAGGAGAATGGAGGAAATGCGATTGTGGTGTGGTCATCGCCTCTGGGAGGATGATGCTTTCTGTCTCTGTCTCTCTGGTGAGCACATGTGCCCTACAGCAAAAATCTCTCTAAAAAAAAAAAAAAACCAAAATCACAGTAAAGACCAAGAGAAAACTTATGCTGCACAATGGGAGGACTGGCAGAATCAAGGCAAACAGACAAAAAAGCAATCAGGGATTTCAGAGAAATGAGGTTTAAGTCAACAGTTTTAAAAATCCAAGTTTCAACCTGGAGGACTCCTCAGCAGCCAGGATAATTTAAAAAACATAAGAGGTGCAATAAACACTAATCAGCTGTGAATTCCTGCACGTGGGGCTTGGGAAGGGAGATTCCCTCCGCAGAACATGCATTTGGATGGAGTCTACCAACAGCACCGTCAAGACTGCTACATACCTGGTCTCGTTTCTGACACACTAAATACATAGGCTGGATAATCAAAGATGAGAGAAAACTCATTTTCTGGGCTTGTTATGATATAAATGTAGATGTTATCTAAAAATGGAAATAGAAAAAAATTAAATTGCAATCCTTACAGATCTGTTTGTTTATTCCACATTTTTAAAGCATCTTCTGTGTTCAGGTTCTGTGTATAACAGATACAAAGTAAATAAGAACTGGCGATTCCTGCCTTCAAGGTGTTATGGTCTTCATCCTTTGATATAAACACATGCACGGGACATTACAGAAGCAGAGGAGGAGGAAGTACAATCTGAGCCTCGCAAGGACAGAGTTAGACGAATGGGATAGGGGAGGGATGGGGGAATTTCTAGGCATGTACAAAAGCACCAAGGTGTAAAACTGCATCACTCAGAAAAATTGCAAGATGTCTGGCCTACTTGGATCAAAGGGGGCTTGGAGTGAGAGATGGAGAATGAAGCTGGAGAGTTATGATGAAAGTCCTTGAATGCCAAGCCAAAGGGTTTGAACTTGAACTTGACAACTACAGGAAACATCCAATGGCTTTAACCAAGAAAGTAATACTATGGCATCTGCATTTCCTGAAAAATCACTGACAGACATGTGGAGGATGGGGGCCGGCAGGCAGCATGACGGTTGAGGGCACTGGACTTCCACATGGCTGACTGCGGTTCATGCCCTGGACCTGGTGGCTTGTTTTCTCACTTTCACTCTCTCTCTCTCGCTCGCTCTGTCTCTCTCTGGTCAAATTAAAAATGTAAATAAATAACTAAAGTTAAATAAAATAATTCTTTAAAAAAAATGTGGAAGATGCATTGGAAAGGGAAAATACTGGTGGAGAGACCCTTCAAAGATTCTTGTGTGTTGTAATTTGGCTAAGAAAGAGAGGAGCCTGCAGAAGAGCAGTTCAAGTGAGATAGGGAGGGTGGGTACCTACCACAATAACGAGTACATTGCTTAGTCATTGCTGCTGAAGGAAGAGGCTTCATGAATTAAATAAAAATCATACTTGCTTTTATAGTAAGGAGGGGCAACGTCCTGCACCTGGATGATCACAGTGTATTTATTGCCGGCTGCTAGATTATTTGAATTTTCATAATCCAGATCACCAATCAACTAGATTAAAGCAGAAATATTAGATTATACAGAATAAACAATTCTGTTTACCGAACTGACAACATTTTCATACACTGCTCATGGATATGTAAATTGGCACAAGCTTTCTGGAAAGCATTTCACCTATATGACAAGAGGAACTTTAAAAAGTTACAACCATACCTTTGTTCACCACTGGCACCTTTACTCAAAAGCATTTTCCAGGAGAGAATCTATTTACAAGGATGTTTATTAAGAACTACTGTCTTACAGCACAGGTTTTTGACTTCAAATTAGTTGGAGAAAAGCATGATACTGAATCTTATGGCAGGATATTTTCATTATTTAAAATATGTACACATATATGCATAAAATGTACACAAAATACATACACAGGAGAAAAGACAAGAGGGAATACATATTGGGACCAGCAGTTAGCGTAATGGCTATGTTGCTGGACTCCCACGTAATCGACCGCAGTTTGCGTCCTGGACCCGGTGGCTTAAAACTCACGCTGGGTGCGTGTGCGCGCATGCCCAAGATCCACCCCCCCAAAAAAAAAATGGTTAAAAAAAAAGAGGGAATAGCAACATATTAGCTGTGGTTATCACTGATGGGTAATCCTCATCTGTACTTTTTGCATTTCTTACAGTGAATGCAGATTAACTTCTAAACAAAAAAAAATTGGTTTTTAGGTGACATTATGAACAAAGAGTCATAATGAGACACTATGAATAAAGTTGGTCAGACTTTTTGGGAATGGAAGGAGCTGAGATGGAGGTGGCAGGGAGGTGAAGTGAGGTGAAGGGTATTTGGCTGCTTGCTGTCGTCTGAGGCTTTATTTTTGATGCATGTGACTTCAAGACCCTCTCCCCCATACCCTGCTCTATCGTTTTTCTCTTCTCCTCCTCCACCACCCTTCAATAGAAGCCCTGAAGGCAGAGGTCTTACACAGCTCATTGAGACCTACCTTGACTGCCCATCCTTCTTCCAGTCCTGCTTTCACCTTGTGGAGCTACAGTGGAGGGTATCTATACATCCTCCATGTCTCACTCTCCTTTTGGCTTCCAGTGGTTCTATGGTGTGGAATTTATCAAGACACACTGAGGGGAACCAGCAGTTGGAGTAATGGCTATGTCACTGGACTCCCACATAGTTGACCGGGGTTCGAGTCCTAGACTTGGTGACTTAAACTCACACGAGGTGTGTGTGTGTGTGGGTGCCCAAGATCTGGAGAGGACAATGGAGGAGGAGGGATTGCGGCCAGACCCCCAGGGAGGTGATTTCTCACTTTCTGTCTCTTTGTCTCTCTCTGTCTTTCTGGCAAGCGCACGCGCCCTATAGCAAAAGCTTCTCAAAAAAAAAAAAGACACACACTGGGGACCCCAGCCCTGCTTTCCCTCACGTCACACCTCCATGCACCAAGCATGACACTCGAATAAACAAAAGTGCTTTCGTGTAGCGGGTACTGATGTATCTATAAAGGCACACTAAGTAGGAGACACAAAGTGTGCGCTATGCAAGAAAGAATCCAGCCCTTAGCACCCCAGGCACAACTATGCATAACAAATGATTCCTGAACCGGGTAAAACAAAGAGCAAATGGGAAAAGCAGAGTCACTATTAAGTTGGTCAGTTACAGTCACTCTGAGAGGGGGTTACCTTGGAAATTTCTCTCTATAGGGCAGCAAAAGCACTATGCATGTTGGCCCAGCTTCCCTGATGCCCTTTTAATGATGCAATGACCATTAACTGACCACAATTCTCCCAGAGCCAGCTGGATCCTGTAAAAATCTGCCACTGCTCCCCACTCCAGATGGCGTGGTGAAGTTGAATTTGTTGTTTGGTGCTTCACTGTCATCATCAAAGCAGAACTTGTTCAGGTCCAGAAGCAGTGTCCTTTTGGCTGCTCTTTCAGGCACCATAATGCTGGCAAAAAAAACACGATTTAATATTTTCCCCCACAATTGGTAATCAAGTGTTCCTCCTGACATCGGCCCAGAAGCTAGACACCTCAACGCTGATTTCAGATCAAAGCAAATCCACAACCTTCGCAGCAACCTCCTCACTGGTCCCCCTGCTCTGTCCCTGCCTCTTCACAGGCTATTTTTAACACCACAGCCAGAGGGATCTGTTAGGTTTTGTCAGATCATCTCACTCCTCTACTCCTAAGTCTCACATGGCTTCCCATTTCACTTCGAGTCCTCACTTTGAAGTACAGGACTCTCCTGACATGCCCCTGGTTACCTCTCTGAGCTCACTGCCTACTGACTCCTTCCCTGGGTCATCTCCACTCTTCCCGCTCTGGCCTCCTGATGTTCCTTTAACACTCCACCAGGCACTGGTCTTGGAGGTCACTGAGCTCTGGGTGGAATGCTCTTCTATCTCTTTCTTTAGTCTCTCATCAAAGTCACCATCTCAGTGAGGCTACCTTGTCTGAAATGTCAGTGAGTGGTGCATTTGGTGGCATGGTAGTTAAGGCAGCCTGAATCCCACGCGCCCAACTGTGCAGTTTGAGTCCCAGACCCAGAAGCTTGAAAAACACACTGGGCATGTGTGCATGCGTGCCTAAAATCCTACAAGGAGAATGAAGGAGAAGGGATTGCTATGTGGCCATCCCCCAGGGGAAATGTTTCTCACTTTCCTTTTCTCTCTCTCTCCTGCAAGCAGACGTGCCTTCTAGCAATTTTTTTTTTAATGTCACTGATCTCTGTCCATCCTTTCCTTTCCTGTTCTCCCGTTTAGTTTTAATTCTTAGCACTTATCTCCCACATATTTACACATTTATCCTGTTGATTTTCTGTCTCTCCTCAACAATGCAGGTCCTATGAGGGTGAGGATCTTTGTCTACTTTGTTCTTTTTTTTTTTTTAGAGAGAGAGAGATTTTTTGCTATAGGGTGTGTGTACTTGCTGGAGAGACAGAGACAGAAAGTGAGAAATCACCCCTCGAGGGGGATAGCCATGTTGCAATCTCTTCTCCATTTTTCTTTGGGATTTTGGGCACACACACACATATGCCTGGTGTGAGTTTCAAGCCGCTGGGTCTGGGATTCAAACCATGGTCGACTACATGGGAGTCTAGCAATGTAATCATTATGTCATCTACTGGGTCCCTGTCTACTTTATTCTTGGCATAGTCATGAGGAATGTAAGAGAAATAAAGGTTCTACTCCCTGCTTGCAGGAGTTAATAATCTGGTGAGGGAAAGTCCCTGTCCCCCTGCAGTCTTCATCTCCCATGCTCTAAAGATGAGCAATCCCTCCATTTGGGTTCTAGCGGCTTTGATGTCGTAGAAGAGCCTCCTAATGCCTTAGAATCATTCATTCAAAAGAGGTTCATTAAGGGCTGAATTTAGGGATCTCAATCTCAGTTGACTCTAGGGTCTAGGCAAATAACACAAATGAGTAAAGCTGCCCCCAAACTAAAGCTCTAATCAAGCCCAACTTGGTGTGAGAGATTCTAAAGAAAACTGATGAGCATCCTTCATTTCATCAAGGGCCTTCTTTTTTTTTTTAAAGAATTATTTTATTTAACTTTATTTATTTAAATTTGACCAAAGAGGGACAGAAAGAGAGAGAGAGAAAGTGAGAAAGCAAGTTGCCAGGTCCAGGACATGAACCACGGTCGGCCATGTGGGAGTCCAGCGCCCTCAACCACCATGCCACCTGCCAGCCCCATTTCATCAAGGGCCTTCATCACGTCTCCAGATTTCAGCTTCTCCATCCATCATGGCAACATAAATCATGTCAGCTAGTTTTTGCTACTCATGTAATAACCCCAAATTAAGGGACTTAAAACAATAAGCATTTATTCTTTTTCACAATATTATGAGTTATCTGGCAATTCTTTTGGTTCTAGCTGGGCTTGGCTGGTCTCTGTGGTCACTGGCGGCTCCACTGGACTGGGTGGTCTGGGATGGCCTTGCTCACGTGTCTGGTGGTAGGAAGGTGGTTGGTCTTTGCTCCTTGTTGTCTTTCTTCCCCCAGGAGGCTAGCTGAGGCCCTTTGCATGAAGATTTCAAGGCTCCAGAAGTGACATGAAGGGGCAAGTCCCAATGCACAGCACTTTTCAAGCCTCTGCTGTGCCTCGTTGCGAATGTCCCAGCAGTCAAAGCAATTCACACGGTCAAGCCAGGTTCAAGGAGTAGAGACAAGTCACTCTTGAGGAGAGGAAAAGCGAATGCACACCAAGCAGAACTCGTATAGGAAGGGCGGGATCTGCGGCTGGCTTTGTTTTGTGGTTCTGTTTTGTTCTGGCTACCTACCTCAATCATATATTGCCTTGGTAGAATTTGTTCCAAAAGTTACCAGGCTTTTATGAAAATGTGCCTGGAAGACCTTCAACCACAGGGGCAAAACTGACCACAGGCCCCAGCTGCTGTACTCTGAAACCCATCCCTGAGCTTGCAGAGAAGCCATGCATCGAGGACTGGGCTTGGCAGAGATACCTAAACAGGCTCACTCCTGACCTAGGTCAGCTGGCTGCACTCTAGGACTCTAATGCTCTAGCCAAGTGTCCTGAGACTGTATGGCATCTAGAATATCACCAATCACCTTCCTGCCCTCTTTTCCTTCTCTCAGGCCAGACCCACATCTTGGTCTAATAACTCCCCCAGCCTTGGCCGGCTCTCTCCCAGCATTCTCCCAAAGGCATTTCCCCTCGTGAAAGCCTTGTATGTTTCATCTTGGCTTGGCATCTGGTTCTTGGAGCACCCATACTACCATGTGTTCAATTCTTTACTCCTCTGTACTGCTCTCTGCAACCAAATTATGTTCCCTTCTATAGCCCACAGCCTCTCCCAATGGCAGCTGACAAGGGCTCTGGGCTCATTCTGCTGGAGCCATGTCTGATAGTAAACGTGGTCTGGAGTTGCCGAGGAGAGCTAGATTTTCTTGGTGAAGAGAAAGCAGGTGTAACTGAATCTCCACAGCATCTCACAGGCAAAGTTCACTTCTGTGTTTTAGCCAGAGTGGAGTCTGAGCATTCTTATTCCCACTGTGACTGCACAGTGACCTGGTTGTTTTATTTTATTTATTTATTTATTTATTTAGAGAGCTTTTTGCTATAGGACGCGTGTGCTCACCAGAAAGACAGAGAGAGACAGAGAGACAGAAAGCAAGAAATCACCCCCCGGGGAGGATGGCCATGCTGCAATCCCTTCTCCTCCATTCTCCTCTCGGGATCTTGGGCACACACACACGTTGGCATGAGCTTAAGCCACCGGGTCCGGGACTCAAACTCGGTTGACTACATGGGAATCCAGTGACATAGCCATTACCCATCTAGTGGTCCCACATAGTATCCTGGTTTTATTCATAAACACTTAGAAGAGATACCATATATACGACCAGCTGATGGTATGGTGGTTAAGGCAGCTGGAGCCCACACAGCCAATGCATAGTTTAAGTCCAAGACCCAGCAGCTTGAAGAACACGCCAGGTGCATGTTCTTGCATGTGTGTGCCTGGGATCCCAAAAGGAGAGAGAGATGGGGTAGAAGGGATTGCTATATGGCCAATCCCCTCCCCAGGGGTGCTGTCTCACTTTCTCTCTCTCTCTGTCTCTCCAGTGAGTGCACATGCCATATAGAAAAAAACTGAAAAACAAAAATATATTACAAAAAAAAGGAAATACCATGTATTAAACACCAACCACATGCTGTATCAGACCCAGCAATTGAAACCACTAATGATCATTTCTAAGAGGTTTGTATTCTTGCCCCCATTTTTTCAGAGAAAGGTGGATTGGTGTAGTTTCAAGGTCTGTCTGAAAAGCTGATGCACTCAGACAGGGATCTCCATTGCCCGTGTTAGAGTCACTGTAAACCTCAGGTTTTGTCAGTGAAGCTTGAGGCCTGCCCACGGCCTGGGGATCCCAACCTTGATTCCAGCTCTGCAGAAGCCGGGAGGTTGCATCATGGGGAGAATCCAGAGTCCGGAAGGCAGACGTTTCAGGCACTCTGGAAGAGGCCTCCCTACTTGCCCCCTGGGGACTGCCTGGCATGTTCTTTCATTCTTTACTGACACTTGGCATTTTTTTCCCCCTAAACGCTTGTGACTCATGACTCGTAAAGCCATTCCTCCTCATTCATCAATCCCGACCACAAAGGCGAGCTGCCCTCGCTCTCAGCCATCTGACCACGTTTCCCTCTCCAAGTAAAGGTGACTGCGCCCAGCCGCATTCTGAATTGGCCAACCTTCTCCGCCTCCTGCTCACAAACAGCTTGCGAAGCTCTTTCAGCCAAGCGCCTGACAATTTACAGCCAGAGCGGGAGCTGTCACGGAGCCTTTGATGCCTCTGTGGGGGCCCTGGGCTCATTCATCAACAGCCTGAAAAAGCTGCAGGGGCCCGGAGCCTAAGGGCTGGGAGCCTGCAGGGACCCACAGGAGCAGCAGGGGGCGCCCGCCTCTTCCAAGCTGCCCTCCCCTTATGGGCGCACAGACCCCTGACCTCCAACCACCCAGCTGCTCTCATTGGGCGCTGCAGTCCATCCCACCTACTCTTTCTGCTTTTGCAAACTCCACAGCAGCGACTGTGCTCAAGACCCCTGAAGAAGGAATATGCCGAGGGACAAGTGGCAGACACTATGGCAGCTCCATTCCCATTGTCACTTGGTTCTGATTCAACCTGCTTATGCTTGGCTTCCAGATGGTTGGAATGGAGGAGGTATTAGGATGGCAGAGAGGTGAGTGAGGCGGGTCGGGGTATTTCTCGGCCCAGTGTGCAGATGAGTATGGATACACAGACTGGCCTTGGAGGGCACTCCCACTTCCAAGACTGCAGAGGGAAGAGGCTTTTTTGGGGGGCCCCATTATACATGCTGGCCTTCACAGGATGGCTGGAGTTAACTCTGGCCGAAAAGCCCAGAGGAGGGACTTGAGCAGGGTCTCAAATTGTCTTTTATAATACATACAATCATGCCAACTCAGTGTTGGCCTTCGGGGCTAATTTGAAGAGATGATTGAGAGCAGAACTCTGTATGGGCTTGCCCGGACAGTCCGGGACATTCGAAATGCAATTTCACCAGCTAATATGGTCACAGTCTGCAAACTGTCCTTCCACAGCTCCGTGGACTCTGGACTGCAGGAAGCAGGAATATGCGATCGCCAGATATGCAATGAAGGAGAATGCTGACAAGGAAGGTTTGAGACAGCACAGTCCTCTCCAGGCCTCAGTATCCAGAGTTCTTACTTCTTAACCACCATTAACCACCATCTCCCACCTCTCAGGGCAGGGATGAAAACCGAGCAGGAGGCCCTAGCAGGGCAGGCAAGAGCAGAGAAGTTTCCTGGGATGCACTGTCCCCACCCAAGAGGACGAGTTTACCTTTAACTTTTCAAAGAAAGTAAGACACTGTGGACCATCTCTACTCCATCCCTAGGCCCCAGACGTCTCTCTCTCTCTCTTTTTTGAGAGGTTTTTGCTATAGGGCATGTGCACTCACCAGAAAGAGACAGAGAGACAGAAAGCAAAAAATCACCCCAGGGGGATGGCCATGCCACAATCCCTTCTCCTCCATTCTCCTCTTGGGATCTTGGGCTTGCACACACACACATCCAGCATGAGTTTAAGCCACTGGGTCTGGGACTTGGACTGTGGTCGACTACATGGGAGTCCAGTGACGTAGCCATTACATCATCTGCGGTCTCCCTAGACTTCTCTTAACAGAGAGTGGGCTCAACTCATGCATGCACGGCATAGAAGCCACAGTCCTGGCTACCCATGGCAAGCGTTCCACCATCTAACATATTCAGGGGGAATTTTTTCTCACCAGAGAAAGAGAGGGAGCGAGAAAGCACCCCTTTCGTCAGGGTATGGCTACACTATAATTTCTCCTTCTCCATTTCTCCAGCCTGGCGAGATTTGGGGCACACATGCACATGTGCCCAGCCATTTTCAAGGCACAAACCTGAACCGTAGAGGGTTGTGTGAAATCTGGTTCCCTTAACCACTAGGCCATGGGGCAAGCCCAAAGTGCAGGAAAGTTTAGGTTGGAAAAGGAACACAATACATGATTAAGACAGCAACTGACTTTATCAGAGTCTTAGTAGGAAGCAGAGGGCAAACTGGGATAGGCCTAGGAGCATTTAGTATAGGGGCTATTACAAAAGTGCACACCAGGTATATGGAAATCTCTAAGGCTGGCGTAATACTTCAGGGCCAGGAAGAGTGGAGCATCCTTATTACCCTTAGACCCAGAGAAGCCAGTGGAGGAGCAGTTCCTGAAACTAGACCCCAGGGACAGAGAGTACTGTAGGCAGGCAGCTGCCTTCTAGGAACTAGACCTGTGGGAGGTGGAGTGGTGCAACCAGCTGGCAGGGAAGGAGCTGGAGGATAACTACCCCAGCTCGCTCCCTTCTCTTTCTGGGTCCACTGGCATCTGGAAGGCAAGGGAACTGGTGGCATCTGTCAGTATGCCGGGGCACAGTAGCAGTAGAGACTGGATCTGAAGGAACAGAACAAGGATGTGTCCAGACTCTTCTGATACCAGGCTCGAGGCCAAACTGAGCATGCTGCTCATGTCATTGGGAGATCAGGTAGATGTTTATAAAGATAATCAAAGTATTTTTACTTCCGTTGCTTACCGTGAACAATTTTTGTCTGGAGTCTTTTGTCCTCTACACACCCATGCTCTTCATTACAACTATTGGCAAGTCACTTGCAGCAAACTGGTCAGAGATAAGCTCAAGAGGCTCTCCCCATGGGAGCTTTGGCAACTGAGGCCTGCCCTGGCCTTCAGCCTTGCTCCAAGTGCAGGGTCCTCTCATAGCAAGGGCCACTGCTGAGGTGCCCCCCACACTCCCCAAGGAGGCCCCTTCAGATCTGAGAAATCAAAGACTGGCTGGTATGAAATCACAGAGATGAAGCCAACCCTGGAAATTACTAATCTTGTAGCTTTGTGATAAAATATTGTTTTCTAAAAAGCATATTAACCCAGAATCACAAGGGACTTTATTTCAAAATAACTGAATAGATTGTGAGACAAAGAGTGGGTCAAAATATACAAAATAACTCATATCCTACTTGTGTCTGCATTTTTTCCCTTTCGGTTGCCTTTTGTTTATATGCAATTAGCTTGGGTAAGGTGAATTAGATGCTTTGTTTTGTTTTAAGTAAGTACTTGGCTTGATTTATTCACATTACTGTGGGTAGGTTTCTCTGGGAGTTCCTAGTTTCTAATCCAAAGTCTCGAGCATCTATTAGAACTGCTAACTAACCGCACTGTATCGCCGCTGTTGTCAATAAATAAAGAATAGGCGCAGACCAGAGAGGGTCTAACAAGTCCCGGCGGTGCTTTTCACCAACGGAGATGAACAGGTTACAGAAGGGAGCGAAGTAAAAAAATGATTCTTAACAGAGGAAGAAAGTGGGGAGAGAAATAACAAAAAGGAAAGAAGATAAAAGAGAGGGAAGAAAAAAGGATCATTAAGAAAACCCCTATGAACAAAATTAGGACAGCTCAGGTTGACGTATTGTGGGGAGCCAGTTCCCCTAAAATTGCCCATAATGCTTCAGTTGTTCCTTACCATACACCAGAGAAGCCAAGGGGTCGAGAGCCACCAGAGAGGCAGAATGCCCCACACGTGTCTTCCAAGGAGAATACCTGAAGGTGAACTTGGTGCATGTGGCAGGGTTGTCATTGATGTCTTCCACAATGAAGGTAATCTGGATGCGATTCTCCTGACCCCCACTGGGTCTGTCCTTCACGAGAACTTCCAGGGAAATGGCAGAGTTCTGTCTTAATTCACCTGCATCTCGGTCTATCCTCTGGGCCACTTGGATTGTGCCAGTCACTGAGAAGGCAAAGGTTAGAACATGACCCTTTGAAAAGAAGAGAAGAGAAAAAGTACCGGGTCGTAGAAAAAGTACTGGGTCGTGGAAAAAGTCGTGACATATTTTTCTATCTTTTTCTATGTAAAAATGCATTATGATTTTTCCGACAGCCCGATTTACAGAAATGACAAAGACCACTCTAGGAGGAGGACTGGTTTACACAGAAAGCACCCTCTATATGTGGGACCAGCGATGTCATAATGGTTACATTGCTGAACTCCCACATGGCTGACCGTGGTCGAGTCCCAGATCTGAAGGCTTGAAAGTCATGCTGGGAGCATGTGTGTGCATGCCCAAAATCCCAAGAAGAGAATGGAGGAAAAGGAATTGTGGCATTGCCAGCCCCCTGGGGGCTGATTTCTCACTTTCTGTCTCTCTGTCTCTCTCTTATCTCCCCGGCATATTCCTGGTGGTAAAAATCTCTCCCCCCCCAAAAAAAAAAAAAAAAAAAAAAAAAGAGAAAAAGAAAAGAAAACATCCCCTATATAAGTACATACTGTTAAAAAAAAAAATGCAGGTTTCTGTATTAGATATCTATTGAGCTATCTGGCCTAACTCTTTAAGAATGTTCCACCCAGGACCAGCAGTTAGCGTAATGGCTATGTCGCTGGACTCCCACCACAGTTCAAGTCCCAGACCCGGTGGCTTAAACTCACGCCAGGCGTATGTGCATGTGTGCCCAAGATCCCAAGAGGAGAATGGAGGAGAAGGGATTGTGGCGTGGCCATCCCCCTTGGGGGGTGATTTCTCGCTTTCTGTCTCTCTGTCTCTCTCTGTCTCTCTCTGTCTGTCTGGTGAGTGCACACGCCCTATAGCAAAAATCTCTCCAAAAAAAAGGATGTTCCACCCCAAATTTTAGAGTTGGGCTCCTGGCAGCAGCTCTTGCCTGTAGTTGACTGGACTGGTGGAAAGCTGACTCCAGCTTGACACAAGTCTCTTACTGGGGACTTTGTAAGTGAGAGACGCATGACCACACTTTACTAGGGAGCTACAGGTAAGAGGCCAGACTCCAGCTGCTGCGGTCCCTGGAGTAGCACTGGCTCTCACCACTCCTACGCATGGATCACTGGACTCTTAGGAGATGCCCAGCGTCCTGCTGAGAGATGTCCTTACCTTTTTTCCCTCTAGTTTGGTTTGCCTTAGTTTCTGCTATTGCAACCAAAGTCCTAATAAATACCCTTCTTCCCCCACCATCACCAAATCCTGTACTTGTTAAAAGTTCAATTTTGTAATACTGAAGTAGGCTAGTGTAATCTACATATATTTTGGTGTTTGTCCACAATTCTTGCCTCATAGCTATCTGGCCTTCTGTCCTTGGTTCCTGAAGCTCCGCAAAGCAGACCACAGAACTAGTCATAAAGAATTTAAGATTCTTGGGGCCAGAGGTGGTGTGGTGGTTAAAGAGCTGGACTCTCAGATGGCCAACCATAGTTTGAGTCCCAGACCTGGCAGCTTGCTTTATCACTTTCCCTCTCTCTCTCTCTCTCTCTGCCTCTCTCTAGTCAAATCAAAAATAATAAATAAAATAAAATAATTAAAAAAAAAGAAATTAGGGGAGCCAGCAGGTGGCATGGTGATTAAGGACACTGGAGTCCCACATGGCCAACCGCGGTTCAAGTCCCAGGCCTGGAGGCTTGCTTTCTTTTCTCTCTTGCTCTCGCTCTGTCTCTCTCTGGTCAAATGAAAATAAATAAAGTTAAAAAAAGTAATTTAGAAAAAAAAGAAATTAAGATTCTTGGGGCCAGGGGGTGGCATGGTGATTAAGGTGTTAGACTCTCACACAGCCCAGGTTCAAGTCCCTGACACAGTGGCTTGAAAATCACTCCAGGAACATGAGCGTGCATGCCCAACATCCCAGGAGGAGAATGAAAGCGAAAGGACTGTGGCATGACTATCCCCCTGGGAGATGATTTCTGACTTATCTTCTCTCTGTCATTCTCTGGTCACCACACATGTAAGCTTTCATTAATAACATTCTTTTAAAAACTATGTATTTAATTTTATTTATTATTATTATTATATTTTTAAAATTTGCTATAGGACATGTGTGTTCACCAGAAAGAGGGAAGAGTGAGAAAGCAAGCTACCTAGTCCAGGACTTGAACCACGGCTGGCCATGTGGGAGTCCAGTACCTTTACCACCATGCCACCTGCTGACCCCATTCTTATTACTAACTTTTAAATACTGGGTACATGTTAAAATGATAATATTTTGAATATGCTGAGTTAAAGAAAATGCTTTATTAAAATTAATTTCATCTTTTTTTTTTTTTTAACTTTTTAAAATGTGACTACTCGAAATTCTGAAATTCTAAGTGTGGCTTCATTCTATGTCTATTGGACAGTGCTGGTATAGTTCCTCTCTTGAGCACACTTCAGGGAATCCTCAAGATAGTGAAGCCTCTCCCATCCTTACATACCCACCTTCCCCAAAGGGGATGTTCAGGACACATTACCCAAAATATGTCACACAGGCATTTGAGAAAATAGCAGAAACAGGAAGATCTCTCTGACCTTCTACCCTTTTCCCAGAACCAGGCCATAAAAGGATCCTCCTTCCTCTGAAGAATTTGAAAGATTCTACTCCAGAGGTACCCTACCTATACCCAGAGAAGAGGAATATTCTTTTTTTTTTTTTTTTGGGGGG